TCTAGCATTCTAGCATTCCACAAACTTGTGGATGCTAGAATGCTAGATGTTTACATGCAGTCTAAACTAAGTTCCAGTGTGACTTGTCCAACAGGACATTGAACCCAATAAAATGTTTTCTGGAAAGTATTTCCAGGGTTGCAAGTGGGATAAGTCTTCTATGATGGATGATTTTGCATGAAGAAAGAAAAGGGGCCCTTGTCAGGTAAATATGTTCACTGCATATTGGTAAGTACCCTTTCTAGTGGCTCTGATTGTTTTTCAGTTTACGAAGTCAAACTACCCCCCATACAGAGGTTGAACATTCATAATCCCAGAGCACAAAACCCTATCAGTACTGACACAGGAATACTGAGCATCATAATGCTGTTCACTGTTGCACTGTTTTCCCACACAACAAGCCACAACACCTTGCTCCTTCTGTACCCAGACCTTAGACAGTCAGACCTGAAGCAAGGTTTTCCAGCATGTCTTGCCTTAATTCACTGTGGGGAAGATCTCAACTGCTGAGCAAGGTATAGACAGAGCAAAAGAGTCCTGATGGGAACTGAACTAAGCACGGTCATAGCAATCTCCCTTCTTACCTATAATATCAAGGTGAGTGACAACCTCCTGGGAGACAGCGTTGCCACTTACAGCACAAATGTACACCCCGCTGTCAGCTATTTGCGCTTTTTGGATAGTCAGGAGAAATCTTCTTCTCTCCCAGTGCCCTTTAATCCTGCACTGTTCTTCATCCTGGCACTGTTCCACCTCCCCATCCAGGCTGGAGGAAGAGCAGAGTGGAGCATCTCTTCCCTTTTCCTCTTTGTACCAAAGCACACTTGCGTTGGAGAGGATTCTGGGAGTCAGCTGGCAAGACAGAGTTACTTGCTCACCAACAAGGGCAACTGAAGGATCAGTGGTGATGGTGATAGATTCACCTGCAAGGAAAATGTGGGAGCATTGATTTTCTCTGCAAATATAACCATTCTAAGGATGGAAAAATTAGACAAAAATTCTCGGCATTAGGTTAATCCAAAACAAAAATGTACTTTCTAGGCTAGAATTCTTCAGTCCCCTTCAATGATAAGGAGAGTATTGAGTCAATTTTAGGAGCTCCTTAAGCCACATACACACGTTAGAATTTCCACCTTTCCAGGTTTTACTCATGTCAGTCATGTTAGACAGTCCTGGAGAACAGGGGCATTTGGGACAGGAATTTTTTTCAGGCAGACAATAGGTGAGGTTACTGGGAGGATTATAATTGAAAGCTCAGTGACCAGTGAGCAAATTACCAACACGAGGTGCAAAGACCTGTGCAACAATCATCACACCCTGAAAGCAATCTGTACGGGCTTTTGTTCTTCACTCAGTCTGGCTATGGGACCTGTGAGACACTGACTGTGCCTTTTCCATGTTTGTGATGCGACAACACAACTACTTTTACTCCCTGAAAACCCAGAGTGGGACTGAAGCGTCTCCCATCATTTGAGATGGCCAGTGCTGTCCCAAGCCCCAGTCTAGACTGTTTCAGACAGGACCTACCTTACATTTCTTCCATCAGAAAATGGGAATATGACATGAAGTGCAGGTGTGATATCTCAGGATAACTGACACTGAACTGTACACTAAGATGTTGTGCCAAAGTAATAAGCAGAACTTTGGTTTGATATTGCAAGTTGCTCCAGGCCATTTACTGGTGGATGCATCAGCAGTGTGCGTGTTGGCAAGAAAACTGGGGCTGGAACAGTAGCAGTCATTATCTTGATCTTTCCTTGTCCCTTGAAAGAGTCATTTGGAGACCTACCTCAGAAACTTCATCACAGCAAGTTTTAATGTGGTTCAAATCAATGGTTTAAACTCTAGCTAACTCCTGACCAGAAAGAATCAGTCATGGGTTTAAAATAAATAATGTAAGGGTGACACAGAGATGAAGGTAAACTCCCATTGGAAGCATATGCCTACACCAAAGTCAGATTTCGCTTATTGTCTCTCCACAAGGGGCTTTTCGCCATGGACAACAATCCTCTAGTGATCAGCAACTAAGGTAGTCCTCAGAAGAAATATTTAGCTTGGTGTCACTGTCTTTTATACGCTAATGCAGGAAAATAAAAGGTGCTTTTCTCTCTTCTCCTTTTTTTTTTTTTTTTTTTTTCTTTTTGAGAGAGAGAGAGAGAGAGAAACTGAGAGAAACTGAGAGAAACGGGAACTAGAACACAGTTCCAGCCTACTCCATGGCTTCTGCTTTCTTCATTTCACTGCATTTTACTGATCTTACATATTGTATTTATTTATATTCTACAACTGTATTGAATCTCTGGATAGAATACGTTTTGTCTTACCTGTAAGCCACACTGCAATAAGAAAACATGTTGGAATACTCAAGAACAGGACTTCCCTCATATTTCTTGGGCGCACACACGATAAAACTTCCCAAACTGTCATGTTGGGCAAGTTGTTTATAATCCTCCTGGAAAAGGCTGACCTGATATGAGAAAAAATAAGGATTCCTGAGAGGAACAAAACGTAAACAAATGAATATTCCTAAAACAGAATCACATTCTTTGGCAAGGCACTGAGGTCTTCATTGCTCTTTAGCATGTAGAGTGGGAAATATTCAGTACATCTTTGGATGATAGTCATCCAAAGTGCAAAACATGTGGTTTGAACAGAGAACTTGAATAAAGAAAATGCCATAAGACTCATTTGGGCCTTTCCCACCTCCTCAAGTTCCACCATTTTCCAATAGACAATTAAGAAGCAATAAAAAAGAAAGAAGCATACGTAGGATGGAACAATCATGTCATTTAGTAGAGCTCTCTGTGGATGTATTACTTACCAGCTGAATTGCTATTCCCTTACATTATTCTTACCAAAACTCAGATCACACCATGGGCCCCACCAAGGGTTTAAGAAGATTAAAATTCTGATGACATATTGTTGTATTTTCCTTCTTGGCCTTGGAATGGCAAAGCATTTAGGCCACCTGAAAGTGATTGTCAAGCATGAACTTCTCAGCCACAGAACTGCTCTACAGAACAACTACATCTCCTGAGGCCAAAGTTTGGCAATTTCAAGCAGGAAATACTTTTTTGCTTCTAAACAGTGCAAACAAAATATACAGCCCTTAGAATAAATGGAGTTTTTCCCTCATCATAACTGCTGGTGATCTGAGTTTGGCATAAACTACAGACTCCCTTTTTTGTCTCCACTGAAGGGATTCTTGCAGCTCCATACTATCCTAGGAAGAAATCCACGAGCAAGATGGGCAGCACAGGCAGGGTCTCAATACCCTCCCTCTGGCTGCATCCTGTAATCCCTGGGGTTCTTTTCGGCACTAAGAATTGGGTTGGTCACATGGTGCTCTCAGTTTTGTCATTGTCAGTGTCTTAAGTGCAATAACGACCCTGTAAAGTGCCTTAACGACCCTGAGCACTCTCACCTCCAGCCATGCTTTCTACCCATTGCTTTTGGAAATTCAAGCTTGTGCCATGGACTGCAGCCCTGTTCCAAGCTCTTTCTTCTTGACAGACCTTGGACCTGTGCTGTAGGTAGCTTGGGTCCTGGGCAGACCTTGAACCCAGACTGAAGCTCACTGCCAGTCCTGTTCTTACACTGCCATGCTCTCATGCTACGCATGGGCTGCAATGCATCACATGCTCGTGTTGGCTTCATTTACAAAATGGAGCTGTGCTTCATGCTTCCTCACCTACCTTTATTCTGCAATGTTGTGTCATGTTCTGGTGCAAGATTCTCAGAGCAAGGAGCCAGTGGTGACTGAACTACCAGCAGCCACTCCTTTCTTGCAGCTCCTCTCATAGTCTCATTAAGCCCATCACCCTGTCTCCCAGCATGCCCCACTCCCTATATCTATGGTTATGTTATCTTGCACCTGCAATCTATCTTTACTGCCATGAGTTTGTACTCTTGTCCTCTTTCAATGAAAAGTGTAAGTGAAGTGCTGAAGGGTAGCAAAAGTACGTTAGGGCAATAAAGCTGAGTGTTGTAAGGAAGAACCAGAGGTATACACCATTACTCATAAGAGTACAGACTTCAATTTAAATGCACAGAGGAGAAAAGGGAGACAATGCAAATATCCACAACACCACTGAGGATACTAATCAACCAACAAGCATGTCAGAATAACGCATTCCCAATTAATTCCTTCACGTTGTTTCACCAAGCACCAAAACCGTACACAGCTGCATGCTAAAAATGATTAACTGTATATAGACAAGCACACTGATCCACCTTTTGAGTGCATGTTTGCACTTACCAATTCTTTGCAAAGTTTACATGTATTTCCAGAGTAGTAGTCCAATGAATAAAACTGCAGTAGAAGTCTCACAACAGTTGATTAACTTATATAAATATTCTGAGGCTTAGTTATCAGATACTCACTCTTTAATTTTGTTGAAATGTACTCTTCTTTATTCCTTATCAGTACTGCACTCCCAACACATCTCTTGTGAAGTAGTAAATAGAACACAGCTAGCCAAAATAGTAGCTAAGTTATATTATCTTGCTGTATTCATTATGTGTCTTTTCTAGCATTAAAAAGTCTCGTGCTCTTACCTATCAGTAGCCTCTAGACCAGTTAAAGAAAACAATACCAGGAAGAAAGAAAATGTCTCAAGTCACAGGCTGAAGTGGGTGGAGCAATTCTATGCAAATAGGAAAATGATAAAGAAATGCCTCTCACTTGTTGGAAAACGAAACCAAAATAGCTGCAATGTGATAGATAATTAAAATTAAAAAATATATATATCAAATTAAATTAAAAAGACAAAACAAACAAGATTTTCTTTCTATGTGTTGTGTGCTTTTGGCAAGGATCTAGTAGCCAAGGGGACTCAGGTGTGAGCTGATGGTAGCTGATACGGTTCTGTGTTTTGGATTTAGGATGTGAATAATGGTGATATAACGCCAGTGTTTTTGTTGCTGCAGAGCAGAGCTTACATTGGGTCACAGACATTTCAACTTCCCTCACTGTCCTCCAGCAATGAGCTGGGGAAGCACAAAGTGCTGGGAGGTGCACAAAATGGGAACAATTGACCTAAACTAGCCAAAGGGATATTTCACACCATATGACATCTTGATGATCAAAAACACTGGGGGGTGTTGGCTGGGTGGTTGGAGCTGCTCAGAGACTGGCTGGCCTTTGGTCACAAGGTAGTGAGCAATTGCTCTGTGCATCATCTTTTTTGCAGAGGAAAGTTGGTTGATATTTTGTGTCTTCCCTTCCCTTCCCTTCCCTTCCCTTCCCTTCCCTTCCCTTCCCTTCCCTCTTATTTTGTAAGTGTACATACATTTACTGATTTTCCCTTCCTTTTCTGTCTTAATAAATTGTCCATGTCTCAATCCAAGAGTTTTACCTTTTTGTTCAGATTCTTCCCCATTTCACCTGGAGACAGTGAGCATTTTGTAATTCCATTTTGAGTTTCTTCAGGACTTGCCTGTGACACCACCTAATTCTGGTTACTTATCGATATCTTACTTCTCCCAGTCCATTCCCAGTTGATTTAAATTTTTTCTATCATTTTCAGTATTGTTTGCAAGGCTGTCTTAAAATTGTTCCTTTTGGGGATTTTTTTTTAAATATGTGTATGAGCTTATGGACTTTGCTTCTGATTTTTGGTTTCTTTTATGCTGTTCCTATGATATATTCTAAATTTTCCAGGGATTTTATTTTTAGACATATTTAATTTCTGTGTGAATTGTGATGCACATTTTATTAAGGTTTCCAAAGTAATGCATTTCTAAGAGTTTCAAGGCAGCTTGTGGGTTCCTTCCTTTCTGCTCTGTACCTTTAGGGACTTCTTCATCTGTTTTTTTTTGTGTGTGTTTTATTTTTTTAAGGTCGTATGGCCCATTTTAACAGAGTTCTCTTCCTTCACATTGATTATCTGTGTGCTGAACTTACCTGATTTGTTTTGTCAACTGCAGTGTTAAACACTGATTGCTGTCTGGTCACAACTTTGGAATAGCTCTCCAGGCTGCACTTCTCCAATGACGTTCTGACCACCAGCCACCTGCAATCTCATTGTTTTTGTGTTTGCTTGTTTGTTTGTTTTGTGGTCTGTTACCATATCTATTGACTCTACTAACTCCAATGATAAACATCTCATTTGTATAGTGATATTCCACCAGACTGGATTTACATTTGAACTGCCCTTGCGGATGAATTGCTGTTTCTCCCATTTCAGCATCAACGGGTCTTAAGAATTCATCTCATATATAGTTTCAAGATTTTCCATCTCTCAGAACTAATTCCTTCATATGAAGAGCAAGACCATCCAGTTCATAGACTCATAGAATGTGCTGGGCTGAAAAGCACCGCAGTGATCATTGAGTTTAACCCCCCTGCTATGTGCAGGTTGCCAACCACCAGACCAGGCTGCCCTGAGCCACATCCAGCCTGGCTTTGAATGCCTCCAGGGATGGGGTATCCACAACCTCCTAGAGCAGCCTCTTCCAGATCACCACTGCTCTCTGTGTGAAGAACTTCCTCCTAATATCTATCCTGAAACCTCCCCTGTGTTAGTTTAAAACTATTCCCCCTTGTCTTATCACTATCCACACTCGTAAGCAGCCATTCCCCCTCCTGTTTATTCACTCCCTTCAGGTACTGGAAGGCCACAATGAAGTCTCCTTGGAGCCTTCTCTTCTTCAAGATAAACAAGCTCAGTTCCCTCAACCTTTCCTCATAGGAGAGCTGCTCCAGCCCTCTGATCATCTTAGTGGCCCTTCTCTGGACCTGCTCCAAGAGCTCCATGTCCTTCCTGTACTGGGGGCCCCAGGCCTGGACGCAGCACTGCAGAAGGGGCCTCACAAGAACCGAGTAGAGAAGGATGATCACCTCCCTCTCCCTGCTGGCCACCCCTTTTTTAATGCAATCCAGAATGCATTTGGCCTTCTGGGCTGTGAGTGCACACTGCTGGCTCATGTCCAGCTTCTTATCCACCAGGACCCCCAAGTCCTTCTCCGCAGCGCTGCTCTCCGGAAGATCTTCCACCAGTTTGTATAAATACCTGGGATTGTCCCAACCCAAGTGCAGCACTCTGGATGGCTTCCCTTCCTTCCAATGTATTGACTGCACTGCTCAGCTTGGTGTCCTCTGCAAACTTGCTGAGGGCACACTTGATGCCATCGTCTGTCATTGATGAAGATGTGAAGATCACCGGTCCCAAGATCGACCCCTGTGGTTGTGACCGGCCTCCACCCTGACACAGAACCATTGATCACAACATTTTGGCTGTGTCCAGCCAGCCAATTCCTAATCCATCAAACAGTCCATCCTTCAAATCCACACCTCTCCAATTTATACAGAAGGATGTGGTGAGAGACCATGTCAAAGGTCTTACAAAGTCCAGGTAGATGACATCCACCACCCTCCCCCTGTCCACCAAAGTCGTCACTCCATCATAGACAGCTACAGGTTGGTCAGGCATGATCTGCCCTTGGTGAAGCCATGCTGGCTGTCTCAAATCACCTCTTTATCTCATATGTGCCTTAACATAGCTTCTAGGAGGATCTGCTCTATAATCTTCCCAGGCACAGAGGTAAAGCTCACCGGCCTGTAGTTCCCTGGGTCTTCCTCTCTCCTTTTCTTAAAAATGGGAGTAATGTTTCCCTTTTTCCAGTCACCCAGGACTTCATCAGACAGCCATGATTTTTCAAATACAATGGAGAGCGGCTTGGCAACCACATCAGGCATCTCTTTCAGAACCCTAGCATGGATGTCATCTGGCCCCATGGACTTAAACATGTTCAATTTCATGAGGAGGACTCAGACTTGTTCCACCATTACAGTGGGACAGAAACCACTCATGACACCCTCACCCAGAGGCTCATGGTCCTCGCAGACACAGGAAGCCTAACCACCTGTGAAGACAGAAGCAAAGCACTCATTGAGTACCTCAGCTTTTTCTATGTCTGAGGAAGCCAACTCCCCGTTACCTTTCATCAGAGGGGGAACACTCTCCTTGGCCTGTCTCTTCCTGCCTATGGACCTGTAGAACCCCTCTTTGTTATCTTTCACATCCCTCACCAGGTTCAGCTCCATCTGCTACACAACTCTGCTTCCACTTTCTGTGCATTTCCCTCTTTTCTCTCAGTTTAAGCTACAGGTCCTTGCACAGCCACGATGGATGCCTGCCTCCCCTGCTCGACTTCTTCTGCTGGGGGATGGAGAGCCATTGGGCTCTCAAAGGGTGTCCTTAAAGAGCTGCCCATGCCCTTAAGGACAGTTTCCTAGGGGATCCCACTCAGCAGTTCTTAGGCAGCCAGAAGTTTGCTCTCCTAAAGCACAGGGTCCTAGCTCTGCTTTTTGCCAGGCCCACATTTCTCAAGATCACAAACTCTACCAAGGCATGGTCGCTACAGCCCAGGCTGCCTCCAGCCTTAACCTCCCTAATGCTCTCCTTTGCATTAGTGAGCACCAGGTCCAGTGAGGCTTCACCTCGAGTTGATCCATCTACTACATGGACCAGGAAGTTATCCTCAACAGACTCCAGGAATCTCCTGGATTGTCTGCCACCTGCCACGCCGCTATCCCAGCAGATATCTGGGTGGTTGAAATCCCCCATCAGGACAAGAGCCCGCGAGCACGACACCTCCTGCAGCTGAAGCAAGAAGGCCTCATCAACAGGCCTCCTGATCAGGTGGTCTGTAGCAGACCCAAACCACTACATGCCCTTTGCTGGACTGATCCTTGATTTTTATCCACAAGCTCTTAATCTATTCGTGGCTGTTCCTCAGACACAGCTCTTTGCAATCTATCCACTTCCTAAGGGCAACTCCGCCACCCCTCCTACCCTGTCTATCCCTTCTGAAAAGCCTGTTGTCCTCAATCAGTATTCCAATCGTGGGATTCATCCCACCATGTTTCCGTGATAGCAATTAGGTCATACTTTCCCAATTGCACCACAGTTTCTATCTCCTCCTGCTTATTACCCATGCTGTGCTCATTGGTAATAGAGGCACTTCAGCTTAGCTATTGGCCTCGTTGCCTTCTCAGAGGAGCCCTCCCTAGTACCTCCAGAACAAGTCTGGGGTTTTCCCTTACTGTCTCCCAAGGTGACAGCGTTCCCACATGCTTCTCTGTCACCTAGTACACCCCTTTCTCCCATCAAATCTAGTTTAAAGCCCTGCTAACCAACCCAGCCACCTTGTTCCCAAGAATATTTGTGCCCCTTCTAGTCAGTCGGCTCTCATCTGCCATCAAGCATTTCCCCTTTCTCAAGGCTGCATCCCAAGCCATTGTACCCAGAGCCCTGAGTACGGCACCATTCTCAAAGCCATTCGTTCAGCATGTCTGTTTTGTGCAGATCCCAGTCACTTACTGAGAGGACAGAGGTGAACACAATTTGCACTCCTGATCTTTTCAGAAGTCTTTCCAGAACCCTGAAGTCCCTTTTGATCATCCAAGAACTTCTTTTGCCCACCTCTTCATTTACAGTGTGGAAAACCAGTAACAGATAATAATCAGAGGGCTTAATGAGAAGAGTGATGTTCCTGGTGACACCTCTCACCCAGGCAACACACCTCCATCTGGGACGGATCCGAGTGGCGTATCAGTCCCTCTGTTCCCCTCACAAGGGAGTCCCCTGTGACAACATTTCTTTTTTTCCCGACATGTTGTAGCAAAACAGGGAGCAGACTGACTAGCCTTGGGCAACCTCTCCTGCACGGATGGACTTTCACCAACATCCACATCCCCCAGTACCTCCAGCTCCAGAGCCTCATACCTGTTATATAAGGACACCTGGGAAGGTGAGACAGGCTGAGGGGCAGTCAGCTTGCTGCCCTAAACAGGGACTTGTTTCCATCCCTCATCTTTGAGGTCGCCTCTTCCCACCTGACTGATGATCCCCCACTGCTTGAGGAGCATCTCCCCCACACCCTTCCTGTAGGGATGGCAGAGTGCAGCTCCACCAACTGATCCCCTTCCCACAATCCCAGATGCTGCTCAGCCTTTCTACTTCCTCCTTTAGCTCTACCACCAGGCTGAGCAGATCATCCAGCTGCTCACACCACACACAGTTGGTATCCCGGATGCCCTCCTGTTGCAGTAACAGGGCCAGGCATTCTCTGCAGACTGAGACCTGAACTGTGGCATGGATATTCATGCTTCCTGTCTAAGTCTCCACATTCCTTTTAGCAGCAGCTCACTGCTGTGTGGTGACCATGCCTGCACCTTGGTGTGTCCAGAGGGCAACGGCCTGTTAAGTGACTTGTTAAGTGCTAAGTGCTAGCCCTCCTCCTATATGGTAGCTCCTCCAAAGCTGCTAACCTCAGCGATCAAGTTCATGGTGTTTTCTGTCCATGGGAAAAAGTTTTAGATTCAGATTTTATCTTGGAGATTTTTTGAGAAAGTTTACTGTGGGAATAGTTGATTGAATTCATCATTTTCCATCAGTCTGTGGACATTGGAACTAAGGTAGCTGCTCCTAAAGAAATGTCTTCAATTTACTGTGTTGTCCCACAGTGTCAGAGGCAGGTGTTGGTGGGACAGCAGTAGAGGTTGAGCATTCCTGTCAATATTCCATTCAATTCTGTTTCCGTGCGACAGATGGCAGCAGAGTCAGTTCTGACAAAATGACATTTGACATGGAAGTGCTCATGAAGTGACGGTGTGTAATTCCTCCATGCAGAAAAAATTGCATTCTCTGACATTCATCAACACTTGATGAATGTTTATGGAGACCAAATGGTGAATGTGAGCACAGGAAAGCAGTAGATGCATTTCAACAACTCCTCCATAGCAGCTGTGAAGTAGTGATCACCTCCGCTGGTGCAGGTTTTATTAACACAGCATGAAGGCTCTTGATCATTGCTGGCAAAAATGCAAAGCTAATAATGCTGACTATATTGAAAAATAGTGTTTTGTAGCTGAGAATTTGCTCTATCAAAGAGTGTTATTGTTATATTATTTTTTTAGCTGTTGTAGTTTCCGCAGAAATAAATAGGAGGCATTACTTTCACAGTGACTTACATAGATGATCTTTAAGATCCTTTCCAACCCAAGCCGTTCTGTGTTCAGCCATTTTCAGGAAAACAGCTCACACCACACTCATCAGTTGTTCCCATCCCTTCCATGCCTTTCATTTCTCAGTTGGACAATTTTTCAAGGCACTGATCACTGTGAGTAGTTTAGCCATGTTGTACCTGGGCACGTACCACATCACTAACTCAGTGTCCTGATTTTCTTCCAGTTATTCAATCAAATTTTATTTAGGGGGGTTTTAAACTGAGCAAAAGTATTAGGACTTAGATAGTTTTTTGTTTTGGTTCGGTTTTTTTTGATGCTGGCTTAACCAGTTTGAATTGAAGGTGCAAATTAGGTCATTTAATTCTAGCTGCGTATACGTGAGTTCAAAATGCATTATGCTTCCACATTCAGTCAGTTGAATATAACTGTTGTTTACAAATGACTATATCTGAGTTTGTTAGATGAAAATGAATATACAGTAAATAGTACAAATACTGAAATAAATATGTAGTGCTTAGGTTTTTTGTGTTTATTTCTTCTTATTCCAGACAGAATAAAATACAATTGCAATGTCTGATATGTTTCAGTTTTTACAAAATGAGCTCTTACAGCAAGATGACTCCCTCTGAAGTACTTCAGGGACTATTTCTTCCTTAACCATAGTTTTTAAAGATGAAAATACATTCTTTTCTTCTTCTACATTTTTGCATCCTCTATTATTCACCACACTGTTCATTTATTAATCTCTTTCTCACTCTATGGAAGAGAGTCGTAGGTCTGTGGTTTTACAGGTCGTACCCCCAGCCACTTGCCACTCGAGTCTGGACTGAAGAATGGATATTTTTTCCCAGTAAACTCAAAGTAGACAGACCCAAGAGGGCTCATTTCTTCAACATTGTAGAACGAAAGCTCAGAATTTTCCACATCCAGGAGAACACCCACCACACTGCACTGTTTACAATCACTTACATCCTCCCCACCAGTTAGTATGTATTTTCCCTGAGAATACTGTAGACTGAATAAATTATTATCTGGGAATGAATTCCCTGTGCTGTTCAGTATCATATTCCTAATTTTCTCACTCACCACTCCCAGCTCCCATTGTGATTGATTCCCCACCTCCACTTCCCAGTAATGTTTTTCGCCTGGAAAACCTTCAGTAGCTACCACCATCGCTTTGAGGGCTGTCTCTGTCTTGTTTGAGGACTTTACCCTCCTGTTGTCATTACTAATGCAGAGGTTGGGGTGTCTGCATTTCTGATCCAAAGTGATATTAACTTGAAAAAGAAAAAAATCAAGCAAGAAGTAATTACTTCTGATTTTCAGGAAAATAAACAAAATTGTCAAAGGCATAGAATACAGAAGACAAATAGTAAAATAATCAAATAAATAAGTAAATTTATACACCAGAAATGTATCCGTATTTTCCTGGGACAAAAACTCAACAGGAAAACAACCTACAGTGGGACATGCCTTTTCTCTGGTTTCATTGTGGCTTAATTAAACCATCAGCACTCATATTGACTCGTCAGTTTGCTTTTTGAGTTGAACATGAAGCTGAATCTCTTGAAGCCACATAACATTTAAAAAGGTCTTAAATGGAACGAACAGAAATGATCCATTTCAACTCATGATTTTGAGAACAGTGTAAATGGGAGATGCCTACAAAAGACTGTGTGCCTGTTTCAACAAACAGGATTAATATTTTCCCAAAATTATTACATCCTGTGAATTTTTTGTGGCAAGAATGGTAGATATTTGTATGTGCATGGAAGAACATGAAGTTAATGGCAGATGAGTATTGGCTTACCTGCGTTGCTACGAGCTTTCCTGAACTCTGCAAGAAAAAAAAAAAAAAAAAAAAAAAAAAAAAAAAAAAAAAGTTAATTTAAATTACTGTAGTATTAACATACCTGATTTTGGAGCTGTTACAAAGAAGTAAGAATGGCTGAGGTTGGAACCAACCACTGGGTCCATCTGTACAAACCCAGTGCTCAAACAGAGGGGGTTGTCCATACCATAGACTCACAGAATCATAGAATCAGCAAGGTTGGAAAAAACCTCTTAGACCATCCAGCCCAACCATCCACATATCACTAATATTTCTCACTAAACCATGCCCCTCAGTACAACATCTAAATGTTTCTTGAACACCTCCAGGGTTGGTGACTCCCTTTCATCCCTGGGCAGCCCATTCCAGTGCCTGACTGCCCTCTCTTGAATAAGTATTTCCTTGTGTTCAGCCTGAATCTCCCCTAGCACAACCTGAGGCCATTCCCTCTAGTCCTATTGCTAGTCACATGGGAGAAGAAGCTTCACTACTTCACCACAACCGCCCTTTGGGCAGTTGTAGAGAGTGATAAGGTCACCCTTAAGGCTCCCATTCTCCAAACTAAATAATCCCAGTTCCCTCAGCCGCTCCTTATAAGGCTTATATACAGACAGACCACTCTGTCTTCATTGCCCTGCTCTGGACATGCTCCAGGGCCTCAGTGTCTTCCTTGTAGAGAGGGGCCCAAAACTGAACACAATATTCAAGGTACAGCCTCACCAGTGCTGAGTACAGAAGGTTGATCACTTCCCTGTTCCTGCTGGAAAAGCTATTTCTGATACAAACCAGGATGCCACTGGCCTTCTTGGCTACGTGAATACATGGCTGGCTCATGTTCAACCAAGTGTTGATCAGTATCCCCAGATCCATTTCCTCTACACAGCCTTCCAGCCATTCCTGCCCCAGTCCTGTAGTGCTGCCTGGGGTTGTAGTGGCCGGTGTGCAGGACCTAGCACTTAGACTTGTTGACCTTCATCCCTTTCGCCTCAGCCCAGTAATCAGCCTGTCCAGATTCCTCTGGGCCCCTGTAGGGCTTTCCTATCCCCAGGCAGATCGACACATCCAGCCAACTTGGTGTCATCTGCAAACTTACTGAAGGTGCACTCAATGCCCTCATCCATGTCACCAGTAAAGATACTGAGCAGGACAGGCCCCAGTACTGACCCCTGAGGAAGACCACTTGTGATTGGTCACCAGGTGGATTTAACTCCATTCACCACCACTCTCTGTGCCTGGCCCTCCAAACCAGTCCTTCACCCAGCAAAGAATGTATTTTTTCAAGCCATGTAGTGCAGCTTCTCCTGGAGAATACTGTGGGAGACAGATGACTTTTGAACATCTACAAGGAGGGAGACTCCACGACTTTTCTGGATAACCTGTTCCAGTGCTCCATTTTGATTTAAATATTTTGATAATTGAAAATGTGACAAAATTCATTTTCTACTTGCAACTCACTGAGTTCATTCCGGATGTTTTCTGAAAAACAGAGAGAGTTATGTTATAGCTATGTATGGCAAGGTTCTCCTGTAGAATCTCAGCTAATATGAGTATTTCCAATACTACATTATTTGTGACTCGGCCTATGACTCAGGAAAGGATGCTAGTGTAACTTCAGAGTGGAGGCTATCTAAATCCAAGCTAGTCACCTGGGCTGTCTGTAGAGTCATAGAATTGTAGAATTGTTTGTGTTGGAGGGGACCCCTAAAGTTCATCTAGTCTAACTCTTCTGCAGTGAACAAGGGCATCTACACCTAGATTAGGTTGTTCAGAGCCTGGTCCAACCTAACCTTGATTGTCTCCAAGGGCGAGGCATCCACCTCCTCTCTGGGCAACCTGTACAGTGCTTCACCACCCTTACTGTAACAAAATTCTTCCTTATGTCCAATCTAAATATCCTATCTTTTAATTTGAAGCAGTTTCCCCTTGTTCTGTCAAACAGGCGGGACTCAGTACTCCAGGTGAGGTCTCATAGCACAGAGCAGAGGGGCAGGATCACCCTCCCTCACCCTGCTGGTCATGCTGTTTTCGATGCTGCCCAGGAAACAGTTGGCTTTCTGGGCTGCAAGAGCACACTGCTGGCTCCCATCCAGCTGCCATCCACCACTACTCCCAGGTCTTTTTTGACAGGGCTGTGCTCCATCCTTACCTCCCCAGCTTGTATTGATTGTGGAAGTTGCCTCAACCCAGATGCAAGACCTTGCACTTGGCTTGGCCCATTGTGAGGAGGAAGAGATGGGTACATCAGAAAATTTACTTTCTGCTGTTTCAACCACCTCACTCTCGAATGTTTTCATCTGTCAGTGTGGAAGCCAAGAATACTGCCTTAGCCTTAGTGTCCCACTTGTAAGGATTTACAGGGGCTGTGGATATGCTTCACACCACCAAACAGAAATTTTATATAGCCAAGAGTCAAACTGCATATAAATGTATGTTTGTGTGTCTCTATAAATATTATTCCTTTTTAAATATGTTAGTTAGTTAGTAGAAAGAGACTTTTTTTCTCAGTTACAGAAAAAAAACATTGAAAAAATTGAACCTTTGATGGGCTCCGTAAATGATACTCCCTTACTATGGAAATAGATGTACCAGGGACCAAGATTGTGTCTTTTTTTTAGGGAACAACTAAGCCTCAAAGCATGAAAGAGAGAGGGAAGTGCTCAAAGCATGAAGAGAGAGGGAGGAAGATGGACCTCTAGTCTTTTAAAGATCTCAAAATGTTTCACTAGTCAATTCTAAAACAGCATTTCTGATCAAACAAAACTTTAATAATTAAGGACTTTTTGAAGTAAACATTATCCTTACCAATTCTTTTCTTTGCATCCTCATTTTCTACAAAGAAACAAAATTAAAAGCCCATGAAAAGTTAGGAAGACTTTTAGGAAGATAGGTGAATCATGCTGCACTCATAGAATTATAGGATATTAGATTTATAGAACACTTTATGTATGGGACTAATCTGTCTGTATGTGTAGAACATCTAAATAGATATAGTTATATACAGGTAACTATATTTAGTAAGATAGATAGATGCTTTTTATATAGATACATAGGTATGTATATATACCTATGGATAAAAAGAGGGATGGTGTTTATACATACGTGTGTAACACAAAATTCAAATTATTTTTTTGTTGGATTAGGGAAGTTAACCTTTGCAAGTTATGAATTCTTAGAGCGTTTTCCAATTCTGTTGTTCAAAATGCATGAAACATCACTATTTTATTAGAATAATGAGATAAAAGTATAAAAAAGTAGAAAAGTGGAAAAAAAAATATTGATTTACCCTTCTGAAATCTTGTCTTTTGCTCTTCTGAAGAGTAAAGAAACAAAGCATAAGTAACAGTGAAATTCATTTCTCAAGAAGAAAATTGACAAGATCTGACTGAGAATTTCAGCAGTGAAGAGTGTTTTCATTTTGGGAAATGAGGCCTATTATTAAGCTCAGAATAAAATGTAAGACACACGAGCAGGTCATCAAAGCTGATAAGGTAAATTGTCTGCTGGAGACAACTATCCCTGTTATTTACTGTAGAAGGAGCCTAAATGATTAGCTTAGATATATAAAATCCATTGGCTAAAACCAGGTGGTATTAATATTAACTGCTATTACTATCTTCAAATAATTGAAAATCTGGAAAAGGAAGACATTTTCACTGTGGACCCACTCTCATGATCCTTTTTTTCTTTTTTTAAATGAAAAAAAGGATTCTTCTAACAATCTTCAAAACCAACATAACAAAGAGAAGTCAAAATATGCTCTTACCCAATTTCTGTTTGAGTTTATCTATGTCTGAAAAAGATTTTAATTAAATATTAGAAAACTACTTCTTTTCCCTCTCTGATATAATTTGCATGCCCAGCAAACTTGCTGTACAGCATCAACACAGTTTGCTGGCTTTGTATTTATACAATGTAGTCCTAGTTGGTAACAAAGCTCCTAGATTTTTCATAAAGAGTTCAGAAAACTATATATTTTCTTTTACTTTTCCAGGACCTGGAACTGAAATCTTCTTTTCCTTATAAATTGGAACTAATCATGAACAATGATCCCAAATTAAGAATGTATTAAATTATATTAATTCACTGATAGAGCAATTTGCAAGCTCAAATACTGACCAAAGATACTTCTCAAGCCAGATGCTCTTAGGAATTTATCTTTACATGGATAAAGGGAACTTGATGCAAAAACAGTACAGCTACAAATATCTCCTGAGCTCAACCTTCAGCTATTCCTAAAGAATTATATATTTATAGAGAGAAATCACTAGGAAAAAACACTGTCAGACTTACCTTGTTGAATTTGCTCTCGTGCTTTTTCTGTGAACAGAAATCAGTACGCTTAGATCCTAAAAAAAATCCTCCAAACACTCAGCATTCAGTTTTAAAGACTACACAGGAGTGATTAAACCGCAACGACTTCTATGGATATTTGTACGAGTGTATTTGCATTACATTTATATACATATGTACGTAAGCTATTAGTTGGTTTTACTAGGGAGTAGACTTTTAAATTATTTTTTTCATAGTCTCAGTTTAAACAATTGCAGTACAGTCACTGACAGAAACAATTTTTTTTTCCCAAGTTAAACTTGCCTCATGCAGCGTTTGAAACAAAAGCAATAGATATAAAGCACAACCAATTTGACATCAAGCCTTGTTTTCTCTGCTCATGAACTCCAAAGGTCCTTTCAGTCTCTATGATTCTTTGAAAAGCAATGAAAAACTTTCCAGCAATGATACAAATTTCAATAAACTTTCTGAGGGCTAACTCCCAATTTTACATATCCAAAACATTCATGCTTGTATGCAAATTTCTGTATAGTTTCTGGATAGCAGTTCAGTTCCTCAAGTATAGCAGAGAAAACAATTCTTTTATTTAGACTTATCATTAGACTTATCATTAGCAGACACTGAATTTATTCTGTGTCTCTTCTGTAAGTCTGAATGTTAAAACTACTCAGAAATTGATGAAAGTATTCATCCCAACCATCAGGTTCTTAAAACAAACATTAAAAAAAAATGACCCAAAACAACAGAAAACAGAAAGAAAAACAATAAAACAAGTTGCTCAGCATTATGAATGTTTGGATTGTTTAGAATTAATGACCACCTTTAGGCCAAGAACCTTAATCTAGCTTTACTGTTCCTGTAGTCATTACATAGTAAAGATTTCCCCCACTACAACTCAGAAGGATAAGTTTGGTTCCTGCTCTGAACTGCAATCAGATATCCATCACTGCTGCTGAGAAAGATGCAAATGTCTGAACTAAGTCATATAATTTTCTCTTTTCTTTTGACTGACTTTTCTATTGCAAACACTTTATAAGTGTCCAATTTTCACATGCAATGCATTTCTTCGCTGAAGATATTCTACTGCTTTAAAGAGCCTGGACATGACAGCTAGGGAAATGGTCAAAAAATCATTTTTCTGGGAGTGGAAAACTTCTAGATACATGGTTGGTTACAGTAAGAAAGCCTGCCAAGGTTATGCATGCAGGGTGATCAGCAACAAAAAGAAATTAACTGCTTCTTTCCACATTGACAGACAGTACATAGATTGGCCAAACCTAAATTCCAGTCTTTAGAAAGCTTTCATTAAACAGCTTTAGAAATACAACTAATTAACTCAGTTGTTTATACCACTGGCTAACTATGTTTATACTGCTGTCTCTATTGATGACGAAAAGTGGTATCAGTATTACTTACCTGCACGAGTGATTTCCTTGTTGTTATCTGAAAGAGAAGAAAGGGGTGGAGAGGGAGAAAGAAAATGTTATCCAACCTTCTTCCCTGTTTACTTGTAGGGTTTCACATGAAACCTTGGATATTCTATAGTGGTCATGTGTATTGTTTGGTAAAGAAAAGTTATTTCCAAAATATCTTGGTTTATATATACTTTCCATTAAAATTACGAGAAATCACTCACAATACAATGAATAAAATTAGTGATGCTAAAAGAAAAGCATCAGCTAGTGTACTTCATTGGCAACTGATCTGTGTTGCTAAACTGTCTTAGGAACTGTTATATAAAGCAATAAAATAGCTTGCAAACAAATGGAACCAGTGGATATCGTTGGGTATGGTGACATATTTCAAGTATTTGAAAGAATTTTACTATTTCAGTAATGAGATTAATTTGAAGTAATTATTTCACTACAGTAATGCATTGATTTATCTTCTAAGGCATGATTTTATAGATTTATACTCTAAGATGTCGGAGTAGTTTACAGTTGCTTAAGAAAGGAAATAGAATGTAAGAAATGTAGAATTGTAGAAATACTTTGAAGAGTCAAGGCTGAAAAATCACAGGTGTGATTTTCCATTACCCTGCACACTCCCCAGATAATTATGAATAAGATGGCAATGTTTTCAACCAGACTGCATGTGGCATTGTAAGTGGAACTTACTTCTGATTTTATAAAATGCAGCGAGGACCAGGAATATGCTCAGGAGCAGGATCACAACAAAAGCCGCCAGCCAAGGGGAGGTGGAAGGAAAGAAGGCATCTGCAAATTATTCAGGGGATCAGTTATCATTTTTCTTGCAGAACCAACTGTTGATGTATTCTCTGTTCATTGCTGATGTCTGGCTTCAATAGTTTAATGGCCATTTTCAACGAGGCAAACCATCAGCATAAGCCTGGAAACAACCTTGAGAGTATCACGATCCAGAACAAGATATGATCATGGCTCTACTTGGTGAAATCTCAAAGTTGTATTGTCAGGCTCTTATAAAAGCTTTTAACAAGGCTAAATACATAGCTGAGTTGGTAACTGCTTGTGCTAAAAATGTTGTATGTGTACTACACTGCATATGCATTGTATGTCTGCAGCAATATGTTGTAACCACATTTAATTTTACTGGGAAGGCCAGAATAAAATAATAAATATTAATAAATAATACTGCTGCTGCTAGTAGTAATAGTAATATGATTAATAATAAGGTTAGCCACGTTCCAATCAAAAAATCATCTCTGTCAGCAACAGCTGATTTACCATTACTTTAGATACTGCACTCTGAATCACTTTTGGAGAAGTCTGTTGAACTCCTTTGGATGATAAAAAGCAAACAAACAAACAAACAAACAAAACTTTTTTATGTGTCTGAAGTGAAACAAAATGAATTTGGATCAAAGTTTTGCATTCATAGACACACGTAGGAGCAGTTCACCAGGACTTTCATATCACTGAGATATTTTGTTGTGTCATCAGAGGTTTGTCTAACCCACACCAAGTGTTATAGCAATAGAAAAAGAAGTGGAAGAAAATGAAAGGGAAAGAGAGAGAGGTGTGACAATAGCCTTCCCCATCCCTGAAAATGAGAATAGGCACCATCTGTTAACAGCAGTTGATTTTCCCCATGCAATATCACATCCATGGAAGGATATTTTTGTGTTTTGTTTGTTTGTTCCTGTTTTAGTTTGTCACACAAGGAAGCTAATGGCTGCTCAGAGGAAAGCAAAAAACAAAAAATAACAGCAGCAAAAAACTGAACCAACCAACAAATAAAAAAATTATGGAAGAAAACTGTTTACTCTGTACCACTACAAATATGTGTTCCTGGGGCAATTTGGTCTGCATACATTAGCTCACTACAAGCTGGAAGCTCATACTCACCTGCAATGGCAACTGAAGATTCTGTTGATGTTTTCAGTTGTTTATCTATAATTTTGCAGGACGCAGAGTTTCCAGATCCTGCTTTGAGAATGATGGAGCTGCTGACAGTGGCAGTGCTGGTGTCAGCAGAAAGAGGAGTTCCTGTGATGTTGTCTCCTCTACTGTTTGTCCACAACAGTTGAGCTTCAGAAAACAACCTTTCAGATAAACATTTGAGTCGAATGCCTCCATCCTTATAATCGTCCACAACAAGCAATGGATCATGGCCAACACCTATAGAGGAAATGGATAAGCAGGTAATTTTAAAGGGGAGTGTTCGAGAAGTTTTGCATTTATGAAGTCCTAGCAGCAGTTTGCTCATTGAAGCTGCAGCCCCTATCATACAACTTTAGCAAGTATTGCCACAGCTCTGGTCAGCCAGATTGTAGAGGACAAGTCTGAGAATTAAACAACATGAATGAGCTTGAAATAGAAGTTATTAAAAGCTATCTCTTTTTTAAATGACCAGAATCAAGTACTCATGCAAAACTGCCACAGTAACAGTTAAGATAGGGTTAGTATTAGAGTTATGATTTAGGGTTTAGAATTACTGTTTAGGGTGGAGTTCAACTTAGGGTTTAGGGTTAGAGTTAGGTTCAACTATCCAGGTTAGTTGAGTATATTCATCTCATCAAATTTTAGCTGTTCAAAATATATGCATTTCACTGAGGCAATCATTTTGTAGAGAAAATGCACTCCCTACAGAGTGATTAATTCCTTTGGAAGAGTACTATAGGATAAATTAATTATGTTATGCCTGTCTCCTATCAACTACACAAAGTCAGATACAACTGAGCACTCAGATGCTCAGTTTTAATACCCACAGTTGAGCACACTAAATCCCAGAACATGCATCTGTGTTGCCTGAAATTCAAATAAATCATCTAAAACTGGACCTTCTGGAGAGGAAAGGAGTTATGGGTGTCATCCTATGTATTCATAGTCTCATAAAAGAATTCGGCACAGAGGGAAATTAATCCATTACAGAGCAAAATTACCTGCAGTGGGCTGGAGTCTAGATGCCAACACCAAGATGAAGATGGCTGCTGTCAGCTCCATACCTGTATGACAGGGAAAAGTCAATGTCTAAAGGAAAAATAAAGGATGTGGGGGCCTACACAGCTGAGAGATTTGGGATGGCCCTTTGGATCTGATGGCAAAGACGATACTGATTTAAAGCAGAACATAAAATCTGTCGTATTTAGAAATATAAAGCTATGGTATGAACACTGAAGTCTCCTAAATCTTTATTTCTTGAACCAGGAATATATATTGTTTCAAGACAATGAAATTACAAACACAGCAACTTTTCTTGTTTTGGGAATCCAACTGTAGTCATGGAATTCCATAAATATCCCTAACAAAGGATAATCTAAACATATATTAAATAAAGACATGCTGCTATTGGCATTTTCTTCAACTTCTCTTTGGATCCATTTTGGATAAAATGGAACCTCTCCTTAGTTCTAGCCCATCCAAACTCCCCTGAGGATTTTTTAGAGATTCCCCTGGTCATAATAACTAAGACCAACACTTTTTCAGCATGCCATAAGATCACTTTTATAGCAGAAGAATTCCATATAACCAGAGGTAACTCTTTTTCTTCACTAACTATAAAGGGAGACAGAAAAGCCAAACAAGCTTAGAAGCCTAACATTTAGCTATCTCATGATATATGGCATGAGTCCTACTTTTTGAAGAGAAATATAAGTCCATCAATAAAGCCATCAAGAATGTGAAAGTTTGACACATTTTTGACTGCTTTTATTAAATTAGTCTTTTCATTCCTTTGGATGTTCACACACTGTTTAAAGGTCTTTCTCTGTTGTCAAGGTAACTAGAGATATTTTTTTTCACTCTTCTTTTTTTTGTATCATATCTATTATGTATATTTTTGTATCATATCTATCTCTCATATTTATCACTCTAATAGAAACACAAGAGGTGAGATGCGTGGGAAGAAATAGGAAAAGAAACAGTGCAATACATTGGGGGGGGGGGGGGGGAGAAAAAAAAAAAAAAAAAAATGCATATAGCAAAAAAGCAATGAAAATAAACAACAGGGATTAAAGTGCCTACCAAGTCATCCCTCATGACTATCCTTGCTGTGGCATTGACACTGAAAGGACAATAGAGAAAACTCTGGAGTGCACCAGCTACAAGCAGGGACAAAGAGAAGGATGAACATCAGAAATGAAAGTAATGCCTCACAGCAAAGAAAGATGACAAAATGGAGGAGAGGATTAAGGGATCTGTTCCCATTTCATGCCGTCAGTTGCATCTGAGTCTTACCAAAGGGACTGTACAACCACATCTCACTTGATCAGTGTGGATTTCCCTTTGCTAAACTTGATTTTGAGTCCAGAGCTAACTCAAAAAGAAAGTATGTCTTCAAGACAGATAGTCTAGAAGATATGGTTGAGGTTTTTACTGTGCCTAACAAACAACAGTTCACCATATAAAACCACACACAAAACATTGCTCAGCAGCTCCCAGGTATAATCCCAAGAGATTTTTTTCATGGTAACATCTGAAATATCTGCTAATCAAGTCAATACAATACAACAACTGCAGGAGACAGGAGAATTATTCAGAGCTCTTACCTACACAAGCATCTAAATAAGCTACTAATTGTGTCAAAGAGAAATACAGACCTGCATTTCAATAGTACTGCTTTAGATTTCCACAAATGCAGCTGCACCTTACTGAAATCCACATGCAGGCTCTTAAATCTGTCGGCAGTGCTCAGAGGGATTCTGACACCTTTGGACTTTGGACTGATCAGTTTTCTTGATCATAAAAAGGAAGTTTTTATTTCCAAAGGTTACCTGTCAACCTTTGCAATGCAGCGAAAGGAAGGTGGGAATAAAAATAATAGGTGTGGCAGGGAATTTACACTTTTTGTAGTCAAACAGTCAATACCTCTATGGAAGGTAAAAAGAAGTATAAAGTAGAAACTTCAGATAAAAAAGGTTTCTAAAATGTTGAGGAAAATTAACTCCAAGGAATAGAGTTAACCAATGAATTTCTTATGGATACAACAGGATATTGCTGGCTGTTGGCTTTCCAGGATGCAAGTGCACACTGCTGGCTTATGTCCCTCTGTTTGCCCATCAGAACCCGGAAGTCCTTCTCTGCAGCACTGCTCTCTGTGAGTTTTTCTACCAGTCTTTACTCATGTCTGGGATTTCCCCTATCCAAGTGCAACATAAAATCATAGAATCTTTAGAGTTGGAAGAGATCTTTAAAAGTCATCTAGTCTGACTCCCCTGCAATGAATAGGGACATGCACAGCTAAATCAGGTTGCCCAGGGCGTGGTACAGGCCTTGAAAGTCGCCAGGGATGGAGCATCAACAACATCTCTAGGCAGTTTGTTCCTGTGCCTCACCACTCCCACTGTAAAAACATCCTGCACTTGGTCCTGTTAACCTTATTATTTTATTTTGTGCCCACTTTTCAAGCTTGTTCTGGTCCCTCTGGATGCTGTCCCTTCCTTCTAATGTATCAGCCACCCCATTTAAATTGGTGTCATTGGCGAACTTGTTGAGGGAGCCTTACATCCCACTGTATAGGTCACTGATAAAGACTATGAAGAGCACTGTTCCCAGGGTGAACCCCCACATGAACCTAGAGTTGTTGACCACAACGATTTGGCTGCAACCATCCAATTTATTCCTCATCCACTGAATAGTCCACCCTTCAAATCCATCTCTTTCTTATTTAGAGATAAGAATGCGATGTGACAAAGAAAACACTTATTTCTTTGAGTACCTGAGATGACCCTATCTGATCCTGTTCTATTCTCAAGAGCCTAAGGTAGCCTAGAGATACCTCAGTCAAACCTCAGTAAGAGAGCCTGCTGCTTGAAAAGAAAGCACTGATGGACTTTTGGGTAAATGTGCATTTCTTTAAAGGGAATGTAGGTGGGGTGAATACAAAACAAATTCAATAGCAGAAGTAGTGTGAAAGTGTTTCAAATAGAGGAACACACTAAGATATATTAGTACTTTAGGACTTTAAGCTAACTGTGGAAAAATCACAGATCATATGTTTGAAATAAGAATTACATGAAACAATTGAAGTAACTTCTACAAGTGTTTTGCTGGTTTTTTTTTTTCTTCTGTTTTTCTTTTAAATGAGCTATTTGTTAAACAGGTAACTTCCTCAAGTGGAAGAGAAAATCAAATATTTAGATGATACTATTTGCCTACATATATTATCTCTTTATTATCTATTACAAAAGAGAAGCTGTTGAATAAGATGGCACCCAAACTTAGAAGAAAGATGTCAGTCATCAAAACCTGACTGAAAAAGCCACTCAACAAATGTTTACAACTGAAAAAGACAAATGAACTGCATAGCCCTAAAAAGAAACAGAATAAAGTTGTAATAATTGATGCAGAATTTACACAAGACCTAAGAACTGGTTCTTTGTTAACTCTTGGCAACGTAGTGTTGATGCCTTGTCTCAGACACAAACCAGATGGTCTCACCAAAATGTAGTTGTTAACAAACATGTGACTATGTCCTGTGCCTTTCATCACCTTCCCAAACTTATGTTTGTAGAGTTCATACTTCACTCAGGCACATTGTCTAAGGGATATAGTCTCTACAATGACTGATGTCAAACACAAATGTGCATGAATTAGAACATGATGTTTTAACACGAAGGTTCAAGCATCATATTCTACTAATCACACATCTTTCTCTGTGCAAAGTATTTTAAATTTATATCTAAAGTAATTTTTTGCAACTGTAGTGTAGAACTTTAACTTCTTCATGCGATCCATTACTGCCTCGTATTGAAGAAAAGAGAAGTGAAAGCAAACAAGTGAAAAGTGTTGAGATGCGAATTGTTGATGGGGAGGCTGAACATGTCCTAGTGTGTGTTCACAACAAGGCACAACAGGCAAGGTGAGGACTTGGTGATGTATGTAATGAACTCCATAACTCGCTTTCAAACATATTCCTTGAAAGTTGTTAAAGAAACTACAATTATTTCAGGATGATTTGATCCTATATTACACTCTGCACCATTCTTGGGCTTAAAAAAAAATTGGTGATTTCAGTTACTTTACTATATAAACAGCTATGAACACAACCTTTGCAAGATTTCTGTGAGCTCTTACTAAATGTAATTGCCTTCTTCATCAAAGGCAAACAAGGGGAATCACACCTTCTACATGGAGCCAGAAATTCACTGGTGGTTTGGTACAGATTTTAGTGGTTCATTGAGAATACAAATTTTGACATAATCACAATAATATAAACAGTTACAGCCATGGTTATCCAGTTGCTACAAGAAAAAATAAAACTTAGAAGTGATATACAAAGAATTCCTAGAGTCTGTCTTTTTTCTCTGGGGTTGTGTCAGCTTTTCATCTCTCTCAGGGTCTCACATTTAAAACTACAGAGTCATCCCTCAACCTCAAAGAAAATACAGTGTTAATTGGTTTTCTTATGCTTTTCCCATTTGTTTATAGCTTAGCTATTTGAATTCCACCAGGTGAAAGTCACATGAGCACTAGAAAATCATTGCCATACTTCTAACAAATAGTTATAGCTATTTCTCATATTGCAAATCTTGTAGCCTGCATGGGTGCATTATTGCAGAAGCTGCAACTGTTTACTAGTCTGTACCTCCTGGACCTACAAGGGTACGGTGTACAGACATCACAGCTGGACAAATAAAATGAACACAATCTACAAAACATTAAATTGTTGGTCGACTCAGTGGCTTTAATGTGCAAAATGGAGAAAACACCAACAAGATGGGACAGGATGCCTGCCTGAGTTGAACTTCATGAGTAAATCCTCTGACCCCCAAGGGAGAACAGAGCATCTGACACTGGATGAAACAACGGAAGAGTAAGACATCAGTATCTACACTGCTGCTGGTATCTGTAAGGACACCAGAAGGTAATATGGTTCCGCAAAAAGTTTGGATTATTTATTTCTTCATCCATTTTTACCTGCTGAAGTTGAGTTGGACTCATCCAGACTCCACATTTTCCCTCCAAGCTTTCAAGCTTTCCAGATCGTTCTAGAGGAGCCGCACAGAGGTTTTTCTTCTAAGGTAGCACAAAATGAATGTGATCATAGAAAAGGAAAATCCGCTCTTCACTGTGATGGAAAGACACACACACTGCACTTTCCTCTTTTTTTTTTTTTTTTTTATGTGCACACAGAAATAGTTCAAGTTTTGCAGCCCTGGTTATGTGCTCTGTATGTGTGTTTATATAAGTCTCTGTGTATTAATATATACACAGTATGTATGTGTATACACACGCAGACACATCCTTGATGTCAGATCCTGTGCATGAAATCATCTGCATGCACTTGCCCTCCATGGAAGAGGAGAATGAAGAAAAGGATGAATTTAGGAAAGAATCAATTTAGGAAAAACATGAGCGACATTCCACAGATAAAAGTACAAGAAAAAAAGAGGTGGGATCTGCCAGAATGAAACTGCTTAAACTCACAAGATCTCAGTAACAGAGTTTCTGAGGAGCTAAGAAACAAATATCACTGGGAATTCCAGAAGAGGTGGCTGCTGGGGCTTGGCTTATGCTGCCTGTCTCATGATGAGGCCACCCTGACCTTTCCCTGAAATGCATTTTGTTTGTATTAATTCAGCCTCTTTGTGGCTTTTGCTGATTTAATGCACAGCTTTAGGGTCAGGCTTTATCATACTCACTCGCTGGCTTACATGAGTGCCAGAGGACTCTGCAAGAACCTCAGTGATGAGATTGGAAACATCTACAAAGACAAGCTGATTTGCAACATATCCATAGGAACTATGTTTACCCTGCAATAACATTTGTATAGTGTGTACATCCTATATCTCCAGTATAGTTTTCCCCTCTGAAATCATGCTGTAGCAAACCACAAAATGAGTGATTTCTATTTCAGCAGCAGTGCTGAAGAATGCAGACCTAAAGTTTAGGGTTCCCTGAGTTGCCTGTAGGGTTTTGAGTAGGGATAAGTTTTGGACTGGCTGTTGTTCAAGATAAAAATGCTGAGAAAAAGCTGAGGATCCCCATGGAGCTAAGAGTTGCAGCTAAAATGAGAAGAAGGAGGACAGTTTCTGAATGCTTATATCACTGAGCAGTGCAAGAAGTAGCCATGTATGGGGGAAAAGTCACATGTACAGATCCATGAAAGAAAAGGCTTCATATGGAATATCTCAGGCAATAAAAAATGGGTGTAATATCACCATAAGGTCAAGTGTCTAGTTTTTTATAAGAAAAGGATGTTCTCTCCTTTGAGTATGATGAAAAGTACAAAAAAGAGAGACATGGTTGGAAAAGACTCCTTCAATCATGAAGTTACACAAAAAAACAGTGTGACTCTACCTTACCAAATATAAATATGAGCTGGTATGACTATGTGCCAGTAGAATACTCACTTCATTTCTCAACCAAGAAAGGGAACTCTTCAAATACAGTGAATTTCTTCATACATGATATGCACTGCCAGATCCTGAGGCAAGGGTGAATAGAAAAGTTTAGGAAGACATTTGCAGGTGAGACATTAGCTGGTCCAGCTTAATGCAGACTAAACCAGATGATGGGTTTTAGTGAAGCAAGATCAGTGGTATGTTATACCATAGCGATTTAGAAGTTCAGTCTAGTCTTTGCACAAAGAAAAATGCTGTGTTACAGGACAGGAACTGTCTGTGGGTGTGACGTGGCCTCTCTGTTTTCCTAAAAATA